TCAGACCCGTGTGTGTGAAGACTCTCCCTCAATGCCTGGGTTAATATATGCCACTCAACTGCCTCGAAACCCCGCGAAAAAATCAACAATCGTCAACAATCGGTGTGCGGAGCCTGAACAGGCAGCAGTGACGTGCAGATGACGCGCGTCTGCGACTTTAAATTGTGGAGGGACCAATTAGTGCGAAGAAACTGAATGCGAACCAGCCCTGGAATTCAAGCAGTGTGACTCTGGCACCTGTCCACAGTGAGTGTATGTAGAGAGCTTCATAACAACCTATGTATGTATTCATCCTCAAGTGTTTGTCAGAGACACAGTAACGAGCTGTAACGAGCTGCAGGGGCCACAGCCAAACGGGTTTCTCTGGTCGTCATAAACGTCAAGCAGAGGTTGGAATTCTACGGTAAATTTATCTCTCTGGTCTCTCTCTTGGGTCTTTCTCTGGTATTTGTCCTGGATCGACACTGGTCTTCGGTCCGTCCCGGCTTGTGGGGGTGGACTCGGAATAAGAATTAGCCAATGCTAACATATAGCATCTTCTTTCCTCTGGAAAACGTCTTTACAGGATGGTCCAAAAGTTGTCTCTTGGTCCAAAGCTCCGTTCCACATGTGTGTCAATGCTGAGGGGAGTGTTCTGGAACAGTCTAGTTTAGTCGCTGTGGACTTTAGAAGTCTCTTGTTTAAATGAATGGGGCTCTTGCAGCTGACGCATGCACAGATGTGTTTTTTCACATGTTCCTGCCCCCGCGGCCATTTTGGAACTGCCCATAGACCGCGGAAGTTGTGGCACATTAGTTAGAACGGCGGAGATGGAAGTGACTACGTCTGTTAATATTTACAGTCTATGGTCCTGGATCGACACAGGTCTTCGGTCTGTCCTGGATCGACACAGGTCTTCGGTCTGTCCTGGATCGACACAGGTCTTAGGTCTGCCCTGGATCGACACAGGACTTCGGTCTGCCCTGGATCGACACAGGTCTTCGGTCTGCCCTCGATTGACACAGGACTTCGGTCTGCCCTGGATCGACACAGGTCTTCGGTCTGTCCTGGATCGACACAGGACTTCGGTCTGCCCTGGATCGACACAGGTCTTCGGTCTGTCCTGGATCGACACAGGACTTCGGTCTGTCCTGGATCGACACAGGTCTTCGGTCTGTCCTGGATCGACACAGGTCTTCGGTCTGTCCTGGATCGACACAGGACTTCGGTCTGCCCTGGATCGACACAGGACTTCGGTCTGCCCTGGATCGACACAGGACTTCGGTCTGCCCTGGATCGACACAGGTCTTCGGTCTGTCCTGGATCGACACAGGTCTTCGGTCTGTCCTGGATCGACACAGGACTTCGGTCTGCCCTGGATCGACACAGGACTTCGGTCTGAAACGCCCACAGTCCTGAGTCCTGAGCGTCATATGGTAAACGTGTTTCCAACAGGGCATCATTATTTGATCGTTATTTGTGGGTTATCGCAGCTTCCTGTTTCAGATCAAAGATGCCATTGTGCTTAAACTCTTGTTGAACGTTCCGCTGGGTTCATATCCTCAGCAGGTTTTCTCATCAAACCTTAAAACGGTCACTTTGAAGAGACGTCGGTGCGAACGCCGCTAAGGAAGTGGCGGCGCTAATTTAGAAAGTCCTTCAAAGATGGAATCTGCTTTGATCTCGGTGTAATGGAGTTTTCTGTTTGTTTTGATGCCAAAGAAATGGTTTTGTGATTAAGGGAAGAACAAAGACGATGGTTTTCGTGCTGAGCCAACTTCGGTTCAAGTTTTGGTGAGAGTGAACAGAGCTGCTTTACAACCGTGTTTATGAGTTGTTTTTCAGTGTTTAAACATTGTTCCTCATTAAAAACTCACCTTCTCTGAGCTCCAGCTACAGCAGGACCTTCTGTCTGAGTGCTAACCACTCTGCCACTGTGGCCTCCTTTCACTCAGTTGTTTCAGCAAAACAGAAATGTTTTCAACTTTTTGAACATTGTCTCAAAAAGTCTGTCTCACATTTTCAGGAATGTTCCAGATTTTAACATGAATCTGAAACGCTGCCTCCTCATGTTTAGACCTGACTCTGGGACCAGCAGGAGGCCATTCCCTGTGCTCCTCAGAGTTGATGTCACAACAATAATGTGAGAGGACTTCAGGACAGAGACGTGAGACCAGGACTAATGTGAGAGGACTTCAGGACAGAGACCTGAGACCAGGACTAATGTGAGAGGACTTCAGGACAGAGACCTGAGACCAGGACTAATGTGAGAGGACTTCAGGACAGAGACCTGAGACCAGGACTAATGTGAGAGGACTTCAGGACAGAGACGTGAGACCAGGACTAATGTGAGAGGACTTCAGGACAGAGACGTGAGACCAGGACTAATGTGAGAGGACTTCAGGACAGAGACGTGAGACCAGGACTAATGTGAGAGGACTTCAGGACAGAGACCTGAGACCAGGACTAATGTGAGAGGACTTCAGGACAGAGACGTGAGACCAGGACTAATGTGAGAGGACTTCAGGACAGAGACCTGAGACCAGGACTAATGTGAGAGGACTTCAGGACAGAGACGTGAGACCAGGACTAATGTGAGAGGACTTCAGGACAGAGACCTGAGACCAGGACTAATGTGAGAGGACTTCAGGACAGAGACCTGAGACCAGGACTAATGTGAGAGGACTTCAGGACAGAGACGTGAGACCAGGACTAATGTGAGAGGACTTCAGGACAGAGACCAGGACTAATGTGAGAGGACTTCAGGACAGAGACCCGAGACCAGGACTAATGTGAGAGGACTTCAGGACAGAGACCTGAGACCAGGACTAATGTGAGAGGACTTCAGGACAGACCTGAGACCAGGACTAATGTGAGAGGACTTCAGGACAGAGACCTGAGACCAGGACTAATGTGAGAGGACTTCAGGACAGAGACCTGAGACCAGGACTAATGTGAGAGGACTTCAGGACAGAGACGTGAGACCAGGACTAATGTGAGAGGACTTCAGGACAGAGACCAGGACTAATGTGAGAGGACTTCAGGACAGAGACCTGAGACCAGGACTAATGTGAGAGGACTTCAGGACAGAGACCTGAGACCAGGACTAATGTGAGAGGACTTCAGGACAGACCTGAGACCAGGACTAATGTGAGAGGACTTCAGGACAGAGACCTGAGACCAGGACTAATGTGAGAGGACTTCAGGACAGAGACCTGAGACCAGGACTAATGTGAGAGGACTTCAGGACAGAGACCCGAGACCAGGACTAATGTGAGAGGACTTCAGGACAGAGACCTGAGACCAGGACTAATGTGAGAGGACTTCAGGACAGAGACCTGAGACCAGGACTAATGTGAGAGGACTTCAGGACAGAGACCTGAGACCAGGACTAATGTGAGAGGACTTCAGGACAGAGACCTGAGACCAGGACTAATGTGAGAGGACTTCAGGACAGAGACCTGAGACCAGGACTAATGTGAGAGGACTTCAGGACAGAGACCCGAGACCAGGACTAATGTGAGAGGACTTCAGGACAGAGACCCGAGACCAGGACTAATGTGAGAGGACTTCAGGACAGAGACCTGAGACCAGGACTAATGTGAGAGGACTTCAGGACAGAGACCCGAGACCAGGACTAATGTGAGAGGACTTCAGGACAGAGACCTGAGACCAGGACTAATGTGAGAGGACTTCAGGACAGAGACCTGAGACCAGGACTAATGTGAGAGGACTTCAGGACAGAGACCCGAGACCAGGACTAATGTGATGGTACTTCCTGGTCAGGAGGAGATGGTACAGTCTGACACTGGAGGCCAAAGCAGGAGGAGAGTCTCCAGATCTGAATCAGACTCTACGATCTGAAAAACACCAGAATCTAAAATCTATCTGGTGTTACTGGTCTGATGGTTGTTCGAGCGTCCAGTATTACCTTTTAGATTTCTGATCTGATTTTAAGGTTTCCGGGAGAGAGACTGGAGGAGACTGTTTCTGGGCCCAAAGACAAATGTCACATGATGTTCCAGTGTGAGGACTCATAAGAGCAGTTTGAGAAATGAGCGTTTAGACAGAAGGGGCGGGGCCACCTCTCACAGAAGCCTCTCCTCTGGTTGGTTGTAAATCTTAGTCACAGAAGTAATTCATAATTTCCTTGAATATTGGATGGTGTTTTTCCACTGGGCGTAGGGTCGTCTCCAGGCCTTGACTCTGGCTGTAAACCCGTGTTTTTACTGCAGACGTAAATCCATCAGTGTCGGAGCCTCGTCCTCACAATACGCCACGGCTCCTGACGCTCTGCCCTTCCTGCCTTTAGTGTCGAGGTATTTTAAGTCTCCGTTTGCCTTTTTATTGGTCATTTCCAGCTCTGTGACTGTGCCCTGGATCACACCACGCCTTGGCCTCAGTAAACACAGTCCTGGAGGAGCTGTAGGGTCGAAGGCTTCCCAAAACTGCTGCTAAAACTGGGGCCTGACGCACACGACGGCCCAGTCTGTATTGTGCCCCTGTTTTTACTGTTTCCTCAAATCTCAGTGACAACAGGAAGAGAGCAGGGACTGGAGAGTGTGGATTCAGGTCCGAGCCATCAGGAAACACGGACTGTACGGTGTTACAAATTCTCCTTTTTATCAAGACTCGGTGTAGTAATATCTATGGATGTATCGGCTGGACATCGGTATCGGTCGATCTTTGCCTTGTTAAATACCAAACAGCGACTGCAGGAAGACAAAATATATGTATACAGTGGCTCAGTTGGTGGAGCATTGGCCTTTGAGCCTGATGGTTGTGGGTTCGAGACCACTGCGAGACCTTCTCCGCTGACGTCGTTCTGCTCTGGTCTCTCTCTGGTCTCTCTCTGGTCCTTCTCTGCTCTCTCTCTGGTCTCTTGCTCTGGTCTCTCTCTGGTCTCTCTCTGGTCTCTCTCTGGTCTCTCTCTGGTCTCTCTCTCTGGTCTCTCTCTGGTCTCTCTCTGGTCTCTCTCTGGTCTCTCTCTCTGGTCTCTCTCTGGTCTCACTCTGGTCTCT